TACGGCCAACAAGGCAATCATGTAAAATAACGCGAATCTATTCACGTTGGTAACGCCATAAGCCCATAACTTAAGAATGACTGCACCAAATTGGATAAATCCTTTTAGGTTATGTGAATATTATATTCATACTGTCAGTAAGAATATAGGATAGGCGTGAAAAAAACTTGGGAAAAAGTCACCGAAAAATTGCACAAGAACATTCTAAGTAAACTAGCGATATTTTTTTCCTGAACTCAGTTCACACAAAGACACAGTTACATAAAATTTCGCATTAATGGTAGCAGTAGGATAACGATATCGATGATTGTTGTGATTACAACGGAAAGTAGACATAATAACGATAACAAATCATCAATACAACGGCGCGACGACGCCGCGTTTCCAAGCATTGTCTGCACAATGTACACATGGCCACCTCAAGGTACACAAAACCAATTTATCTTGGACTAACTTTGTATGATCGTTCCCCACAATCGACGATCAATTTATACTGGTATTGCATAGCTCAATGTGTAACCATGAGCATCTACTTACACCTGTTTTCTGCGAACTAAGTAATAATATGATACAATTGATTATACAATACTAAATTATTGATTATTATAATTTACATTAACTGTTAGCTGCTTGTTATTTGTCATTTCTATGCCTTTTTGCTTATAATATTACAGTAGAATTCTAAGAACTGAACTATGTATGTCACTACAATGATATTATTCGATATAATAAAATTATCCAGCGAATCTGAAAGTTACTAAGGGAGGCCCATTCGTATGTTCAGCAGTGTCATATCTTACATTATACAATACTAGCTTTTACCCGCGGCTTCGCTCGCGTCACAAAAGGATAAAAAGCCAATGTGACATATACCAATACACACAGCGCCATCTATACCAATACTTTTGTTTTCCCTCGGGAATATCAAATTTTTCCGGGATAAAAAGTACCCTATTATTTAATCCGGACTTCTACCTATAATAAATAAATAAATAAGCCTTTATTTCGTTCCCATAGTAACAATGACAACAAAGACAATATAGTAAATATCAATAGAACAAAGTTCAATATAGTAAATATCATCTAATAATTCTATTAGTAATTACTTCTACCTATACATCTGCAAAAATTCAAAGCAATCGGTTTAGTAGTTATGGCGTGAAAGCAGAACAAACAAACAAACTCACTTTCCGACTATTCTCTAATAACACTATTTTTCACTCTATCAATAAATAACTCGCAATGCCTTAATTTTTAGAACTTCTAAAAAGTATAAAAACAAGATCTAGACTTCTTGCTATAGATCTGCTCTATAAGTCATAATTCAAACTCAGTAATAATGACTAAAAAATCACATAGTTACCTCTGTGAGAATTCAAACTCCTCAATGCCATACTTCTTCATGAACGGCAGACGCATCACATTGAGGGCAGCAAACAGCCAACAACGGCCAGAGTTCTCCTGATTTGTCACCGGCTTGGCTTCAGAATCAATCTGTTGAAGAAAAGATAACTCTAAACACAAGGATTTTAGGTACATAATTGGTTAATACCTGCTTTGTAATATAAGAGGAAAGCAAAAATTACTTTATGCATCAGGATTTAGGGTATAGAATTGGTTAATACCTGTTTGTCACTTAAGAGGAACATTTTCCTTATTTAAAAAAGAGATTTCCATAATATTTGTTTTGTACTAGCATTCAATACAATAAAAGAACTTTAATCAAGATTCAAATATTACTCATCATGACTAGTTTCATATTGTAAACCAGTTTAGAATGACTACTAGGATTGGAACAGGATAATATCTATAAAACAAGAGAAAGAAAACTAGATCCTTTTTATTTATTAAACACTAGCGACCCGCCCCGGCTTCGCACGGGTGCAATATGCATGTATTATACATACAAACCTTCCTTAAGAATCACTCTATCTATTAAAAAAAACCGCATCAAAATCCGTTGCGTAGTTTTAAAGATCTAAGCATACATACGGACATACAGCGAAAGCGACTTTGTTTTATACTATGTATTGATGTTATCATCTAGGCAATGTCCGCTTCGTGCAATAGTAATAATTCAATACTCGTTTTTTTTTTTAATATAAGAAAAGACCTGTTTAATTTTTTAAATATTTTTTAGGTGGTGGAGAATAATCAAATAAAATAATATTCAAATTAAAACAAAGTTCTATACAACCCTAACACATTACAAAAATGATCAGATATAAATAATGGGACGGGATATTTCATGAGATCTTTCATCAAAAGGTTTTTACATGTTCGTCAACCGCCAGATTAAAATAAGTGGAGATAGCGAGATAGTGGTCAAACATAGGCCCATCAAATATAAAAAACAGATTCACCTTATGTCTCGTATTTATCCTATGGCGGTATGCTGAAACTACAGAACACAACCTACTTAAGGCCATTACATACTTCTTTAGCTTCCTTCTCTATCAGGCGTCTGGTCTTACGAGCACTTCGATTACGATTACGGCGGGCACTTCGACTACGATTACGGCGGGCACTTCGGTTACGATTACGGCGAACACTTCGGTTACGATTACTGCGTACTTGGTTTATATCCCGCATCTGTCCAATCATGAGTCTATGTAACCACTAACGACTAACATCTTTTTTACTAAAACCTTTCATAATACTACTTTCATTCTTACTTTGTACGATAACTAATAAAGTAAAAAACAAAACAAATAGGGGAAGGATCTACAAAAGATCATAGTGTCAAACTAAATTAATTAAACAGTTTCTTACATAGTTAGAAACATGCTTGTGATCTACGGTGACCGCTTACCAGAAGGCAGCAATATACTTTTGTTGTTACAGACAGTACCTACTTAGAAGTAAAAAGAAGTAAGTATTGTTTACTTACTTTGATATTATAGACATGTAAGGTGGTTTCAGTCTTCTTTCTGCTGATTGCAACCTCGAACGGATCAAACCTTGTGCATACATTCTGTGCAAGTTCATTTTTAGGATCGGAGTAGAAGTCGCTACGGAACTTTGATAAGATGTCTAGGCTCAATGGAACTGAAAGAGAAGAAAAATTTAATTAATACAAGTACATAAGATATATTTATAATATTTAGAGATATATTTTAATAGTTTTATCACTAGAATCCTATATAATAAAAGATAACAATACTGTCATACATCAACTACAGATTCAGACTGCTGTTTTTAAGAATATTATAAGACTTTTACTGAGAATTCAGATTTAATTTTATGTTAGTTTGTTAATATTACCTACAAGTTAGTTTTTATTGTAATTTTGAAGTGAATAAACTTAGATAATTTAATACCTATCTTTCAAAATGCATATAACAATGTGTTATGTAATTGTAAATAAGTTTCATGTAAGTTTCCATTCATAAAAGTACCTAATGATTTGTTTTAAAAACTAACAAACAGTGGCTCTATGCTTAGGTAGTTATTTCAATTTAATAATTTGTACAGCAGATCCCATTAAAATATCCTCTTAAATTTCAGGGTTTTTTGTATCATTGTCTAAATTAGCAGCCATTACTAACAAACATCAACATTAAATTCATAAACCAATTGGTATTGCTAATTCCTAAATGTTTATAAAATTATTGAAAATCTTACCTTTATGGTCTATTTGTGTGCTGTATCTTAAAAACTTAATTATTACTCCATTATGTACTGGTAACTTGATTATATTATTCATTTCATGGTGATAGGAGTATTTGTAAATATTTCAAAAATGTAAATTAGCAAAAATTCGGCAAATCAGGATGACATTTTGTTCTATTTGATATACAGACTTTGTTGTGGTAAATAAAAAGTAAAAGTGACAGCGTTTTCACTTTTTAAATTGATTTGTTGTGTAATGAGGTTCAATAACTAAATATTACGATTTTGTTCAGTCGAATTAGATCATTAAAATGTTGTTTTATTTCTGTTTATGTAGCATTGCATTCGTATTAAAAGTGACACAGCTATAAACTTGTCACAAAAGATCTTGTGTAAAGTAAACACACCAAAGCAAAAGTACAAACACTGAACAAAAGGAAAAAAAAAGATGAAGTTGCTGCTCAAAATAAGCGTTTGTTATTTCGTGCAAATAAAGTAGGTTATGTTTGATTTTTCTAGTTAAAAACGGAATAAAATTAGTCTCTATACCTGACGACATAGTTGCGGTGGGCTTCCGTAACAAATTAACCGTCCGACTCTTCAATATGACTGCGGCAAATGATTTTACAAGCATTTATTTTGAAATGAAATAAAAGATGACAAGGTATTTCCATTTTCCCAAAGCCGGGCCGCAATAGAAACGTAAACATTTTAATCTCTATTTTCTCAACGATAAGGGTCATGAAAGTAGCTGCGTTCCTATTGGTTGATGGAATGAATAGAACCATATTGCCTTCTCGCTCTAAGTCATTCATTAACCTGTTCCGAAGTAGTTCAAAAGTTCATTCTTCAGGTTATTGACCCTATCAGCAGCTGATCTAAAGCGAGCTTCTTTTGTCTTTGAATTTTGAATTGACATAATGCATGTTTAATAAATGTTACTATTGTACTACCAAAAAGTAATGGTTAATTTTAAATGATATACTTATTTTCAACACGGAGAAATAATATTAAAAACTTATCTGAATGTCAATATTATACAACTGGCAACATTCACATTTACGCGCGAAATTCAAAATTTATTTTACCTGTGGTAATTTATCGAGCCATTAAACCATGTTAATTTTGATAATTTAAAAATAAAATGCTACTAAAAGCAACACAAAAAATATATTTTAACGATTTTCTACTAGAATTACACATAACTGATTGAAGTTAGGAAGTTATACGACGTATCTTGTAAAATCAATAATTTGAACAACGGAAGGTCCACTTACGAGACACTTGCGCCAAAACGCTAATCTGTCAGTTTTCTTCCGTGAATTATTTATTCGTTGATAGATATTCTTGTAAAAAGTGCCTAATAGATTCGGTAGTGGTTTTTAAAAATGTCGTTAAAGGCGTATGAAGATGCGTGTACCAGGGCTGAGTTATTTGGCCAGCCTGTGCCTGATCGTGAAGAGTTTTTGTCAAAACATAAACATTTAGATGTTGTAGAATTCGAAGAAGTGGAAATTCGAACGGCAGAGGTATGAAACCTTTTTCCTTGAAATAGATTTTTGAAGGTATGGGATAATTCATTTCTGAAGGGCTCTCTGTAATTTTTGGTACATGGAAATTGTTGGTACTTCTTTCCTGGTTATTTTTACGAGTTACGAGTAAGAATGGGGTCAAGGATGTAATATGGTTCAGAATGGGGCTGTAGAAACCTATTCCAGTAATGTAAACCTTGACCGATACAGAAGGGTAGCACAAAAAATACGGGATTTAAAAAGTATTTTTTTTTCTAATTATTAATTATTTTGAGATCAAGGTCTACATGTATTTTATTTTTTTAGTATATGTGGTCATAAAAACCCCTTACAGAAAAAAGTCTTCATTTTGTTCCGTTTAACCAGTATTATGTAATACATAATAATATGGACCTATAATATTATTTGCACTGGCTTTAGGGTGAATATAGTGACCTAAAAAGAATTACACTCGCACAACATCTTATATTTTTTCCAACTCCTGATTTCTGGCTTCATCCATGTCCATCCAAAGGTTGTCTGTAAGAAATCGCATTCTGCGATAAGACCGCCGATTGTACACATTTTTTTATTATCCTCTTTATGTTTTATGGTGTAAATAAATGTGTAAAATAAATAAATATAAATATAATTTATTCTAGTAATAAATATTTTATTACATTAAATAACAATGAGTGCTAATATTTTCAGAATACTGCCATGCTAGATGACCAATTAAAGGAAGGTACGGGTGGCCTAGCTGAACTGAACACAATACTTGACTCTACCCAAACTAAAATCAATAAATTAAAGGTAATTTTTTTAACATTTTCACTTCAATTACTTACAACCAAGGCGCTGGCGTTGAGTTACACGCAGAATATAAACACATTGACACGAAGGACATTCATTATTTTCTTAAGTTCACACACGTACATTTTAGTGCTTCAATCATTTCTAAGTGACATTGTATAATTATATGCCTCTTTTGCAACGTCCTTGGTTATAATATTAGGACTAATAGAACTATCCTGTATGCCCCCCTGTGCTTCTTTAACTATGTCCTCGAAAAAACCACGCCGTTAATCTTCTTGGTATCTATAA